AATCTTTGGCGCTGAAACGTTTCTATTGAATTAACTAGTGCCTGTGCGGATAGCCTTTCAGCATCCTGCGTGGTGGGCGTCTGAAGTTTTGGAGTGTGGCGTCTTTCAAAGTGTCGTGAAGAGCCCTGGCAGGTCGTTGAGGAGGGAGCGCCCGCCACCACCATTTCTGGCGATATTTCTGCTCCCGTGCTGAAGGATCAGAACGACTTCCTTCCAAAATTTTCACGGTGGATTTCCCAGCCTCATGCATCCTGTGAATGGTGGCGGAGTCTTCTGAAAGGAGCCTCGAGATTGAACTTGGCCGATTTTCGAAATTTTTTATCTCCAGATGGGCATCTGGCTGGACGGTTAAATCGCTGTGGGGATCCACTATCGGGTGGTTTTAAACCCGGTTACACCGTCTTGCCTCGTCTCAGAAATGGCCCCGACCTGCTGTTTCAATGGTGCCAGCGGATGTCCATTTCTTGGTGTGCAAAGTCAAGCGCAACGCCACCCTTTCCGGGGGGTCGGTTCTAGGCGTCGCCAGTCTCCACTTTGAGATTCTCCAACCGTTCCGCCCCGATCGTGCGTATTCAAAGTACTGCCATTTGCGCAGTGCTTAATATTTTGACTTGAAATTCTGGCCAGAGCATCACATTTGAGTTTGTTAGATGCTTTAAAATTTTTGCAAGGAACAGATAAATGTATGATGTAAAATTGACCTCTCGAACAAACGCGCTCGTTTAATCCCGGACAGAGGAAGTATAACTTTATCGTCAACCCCAAGCTGTGTTGTCGCTGAGGATAGCCAAGATGGATACTGACACCGGAAAACTTTGGGACGGTTGCAGCTACGGGATCGCCTACTGGAACAAAAAGTTCCCTCACTGGCCAGTGAAGATTCGAAAATGTGAGTATGATGACTAAATTTCTTGACTAAACAATTGCTGGTGACCCCATATTGGGGATCGCAATTCACAGAGAATTGAAATTTTGGTATGTTTGTGGCCAGATTGATCTACTACCTGTTGGTATCGGTTGAATGCTCGTGGCTGGACCAACCGTCAATCCCAGGAGGCGGTATACCGACCAGACTAAGCTTTGCACTAACAGGTTGATTTTCAGCTACTTGCAGCAAAAGAGATGAATTCAAACCTCTCGTTGCGCAGCGGAACAGCCATGGCACGCTCTGAGGCATCTTTCGGTTCAAAGCGTGGGCTTATCTTTTTGTGCATTTTGCTAATATGATTCATCATGAGCTTGGGTCAATCAACGCTCGTAAATGTGTGAACGTTGAACTCCAGGCTCCTTAATTGGAATTCGTAGCACAAGATAGGCGCAGAACGCGCCGCAAGGGATCAAGTCGTCCCATGAGCCAGCAGAGTGTGTACGGCCCCGTTCACACTGACGAGCCCTCAAGCGGCAGATCTCCAAAGGCAAGAAATCCACCCTGAGGGTCGATGGCCAGGGCTTGAGCACTCAAAGTCCCGGGGGCCCCAGCAGGCTCCTGATTCATCCCATGCCCCCGATAAGGGACGTCATGCAACGCGAATGCACGCGCCTCAACCGAACCGCGGAAAACGGAGGGTGTTGCGATCCGCTCCTGAGCCTAAAACGGACGATCACATGCGATACACTCATTTCAAAGAGGTGCCATTGACGGTTTAGCCACTTTTGCTGCATTGCTATCGGATGCACAGGTCTGACAACATTTCCTCCCTGCAGCGAGCTTGTACGGCAAGCAGCTGCTTTGACTCGTGTTTAATCCTGAGCCTCTCAATCAGGTGTACTCGGGGCACAGTGTGCCGTCATACTCATTCTTATAAGCAGGCTAACACAGCTCAAAACAACCGGCCCCAACACCCACCCACCGGTAATGATGCATCTTTTTCCGCAAGGATATTTTTGGCAAACTTCGCCAAATGGCGAATATATCAATCACACTGTTCATGAATGGGATAACCTGCGAACACTTCATATTTTGGGACCAAAAGTGGTGTGCAGACGCCCATCGTCCAGGAAAAAGCAGAAATGCAAACAATGTGCGCTGTGCAGAGCATTCTGAATTTCAGGCTCGCAGACATGGCATGAATGATTTTGTGGCGCCCACTGGCGACCTCTCGGTGGCCAGCAAGCCCTCCATACCAGCGTTTGGATACTTGCCCAAATTATGAACGCCCTCCCAATGTTGCAGGTAGACAACAACGCTCCCTTGGGTACGCGTGACTGCCCAATTACCGGTTTTGCATCCCCAGTGCATTGCAGGGGTGCGTTTAGTGCGCCAAGGAAATTGCGTTATGGCTCTCCAAGCGGGGCCCTATTGGCGCTATTCAGCAGTCCTGTACATAAGTGTATTGTGCTGGCTTGGCTGTACCTAGTAGACTTTCGTGATGCCCGTCCCAGAATCCAACGGGCACGTGCAGGTTCTTCCCCTTCGCCACCGCCCGCTCTCGGCACGCGCCCAAACCTGTCAGGCCTGCGAGCGCTCAAGGATGCAGCTACCGACCCTCGCCGCTCTCTTTGGACTGCTGACCGCCGTCGGCAGCGAGGCATTCCAGATTCCGCACGAAGACGGTAAGTGCCTACATCGCATGCCAATCCCTCAGCCCATTCAGTCTCCATCCACCCGCTCACCGTGTCTTCCCTTTCAAGCGGCCTTGCCCCTAAGTTTTCCTTATTCGAATGGCTTGCTTGTGGGCTCTCACCCACGCGCGCAGTGGCCGCGGTGGAAGTAAAGGAGCAGTTAGTCATCGTATCGTAGAGGCTACTTCGACAACCTGGGCCTGTCTGGTGTCTGTACCCAGCCGAGAGAAGCCTTTCATGGCAGGCACTTGCAACGTGCTGGCCTCTTGTGAGGGATGTGCGGAGCGTTCCCGCCGGCTGGTCTGCTCCCGGTGCTGTTTTGACCGGAAGCAACGACTTAGGTTGTGGCAATCCAACGGAGCACCACTCTCGATATGGGTCTTTCTGGCCAAGAGCAGCTGGGTTCCGGCACTAGGAGATTAAAGTACCAGAGTTAATGGTTAGAGGCCTCTACCCAGGCTCTCTGTTTCGATCTTATATGTCAGCTGTCTAGCAAAGTGGTAGGTTTGTTGCTGTTGTGCGCTGTTGTTCTTGTACATCACATTGTTTGGCCAATTGTGGGCGCAGCCGGCGTGGCCACTTTACTACTGCAAGGGACCACCACAAGCAAAATACGGGACCCAAATTGAATTTGCGATCAGGGAAATTTGAGTTGCCATTTAGAGCCGAGCCTCTCCACCATGCTCTGCATTCCAGCAGTGGCGTGGACACGCCACGCCTGTTCACCATCCCTTACACAAGGTCCTCTGTTGTGCAAAGGGCACAGCATACCCACAAATCCCAGGAATGCCTCCCAAGTTTGGCTTGCAGTATGTAGAGACCTGATGGCCGCTGCTGTGGCGGCATTTCAATAAAGAGGTGGAAGTGTGGGGCTCCTTGACGATGACCATCTGTTGAAAGCTCGAAATTGTTTATCGCATGCTTTGTGCATTTCGGTAGTCAACCAATGTCCCAGCACGTGACTGAGCACAGAGTATGGTCTCAGAATTGCTGCTTGCACCTTCTCGACGAGCGGCTCTTTGTCCCTGATGGAACCAAAGGTCCTGCGATGCAGTCGAGGTGGTGTGCAGAACCGAAAGAAGCTTTGATGTTCAACAAGGCCTAGCAGTGATGGAAGTTTGTCTGTGCTTGCACAGGTTCAACCAATTTGGCGGGCACCGTGGGAAAGTATGTGTAATTAGTCACTCTGTCAAATGCCTTGCAATGATGATCACATTATTTCCCTGCAAGTACATTAGTATTCTGGGGCCATTCTTTTCAGTGGCCTAATACGCTTGTCATAACCTGCAAGTGAAAAACACATCGTGCCGTAGTGTACAGTGAATGCTGATGACTTTTCTGTTCATGTCCTCTCTGTAATTTGCACTGTGGACAAATGTGGGCAGATATAAATGTCTGCTGCCTGTTAGGTGTCTTTGCAGCATACCTTCTCAGCAAACCACAACCAGGGGCGGGGTTTGGTCCATTGGAACATCAGAGGCAAAAAGACTTTGGCATCTCTTTTGTACTTGCTGCACAAGGCATGCTTGTGGCAGTTGTTCCTCCTTGTCTCAGATTGCACTGGCACTTAGCTACTGCTGCCGTTATTGTTTGTGATTGTGGGAGAAAGTTTCATCAGGCCATTGATGGTGCACCAAAACTTGACCTTGTTGCCACTTGTTTTGTTGCTGTTGCTTGTGGCCAGTGCATCATTCTACTCTCCTGGAACAAAGAACAGACCATTTAAAGCAATGCAGCATGGTGCTCCTAACTCTGGGGAGGCTTTGCCCAGTATTATCCAGAAGCACCAAACTCAACGGGTTGTGATGCACGTATCCAGCACATATTTTGCTGGAATTGAACTTATTGTGTTATTAGGTAGTTTCCATAAATGGTTGGATTTGGTTGCTGGCACAGAACGCAGTGCAACTTGGGGGCTATAATGCCCTTCATTTTCTCCTTTGGGGGGCATCGTAGAAGTACACGCTTTCCAGTGGATAGTGAATTTGAAGTCAATGTCATCTGCTTACTGACAAGACTGTTGCACACAGACCCCCATGGATAGAGCGGGCTCGCACAGCACGGTGGCTTGTGCATACATCCAACTGGGCCACGATCAGCACCATCAGCGACGCTGATGGCGGTGTTCCTCACGGGTAATGCCCTACTCACTCCACAAGACACATGTGGTGCTTCATTGTTTGTGGTCATATGTGTCTGCAGATATTGCTGACAGCCAAACCTCTGTTGCGCTGAGTTGGCTGTCTGTGGTTCAGTCAGAAATCAAAATGCAGGAATGCATCGACAGTGCTGGTGATATGGGTGTTATGCTGTGCCACATTGTTGCCGCTGCATAGTCTTCTTGCACTCTCAACGCAATCTTCTTGCCCAACAGACATGTGGAGGATCTGAGCGACGGACCTGACTTGAATGCCACTGGCCGGTGCCTCTTCTATTTGATGCCCAACTATGCCGTCACCGCAGACATTCAGGTACATTTGTGCAGTGTGCTCAACACACCAGGCCAACTCCCTGACACCACCCACAAGGACTGTATTTGTGAAACACATGCTGGGAGAAGTTCTACTACATAGACAAGGAGCTCTTGCCACTGCTTTTTGTTTGAATAATCGTTTCTGTTTTTGGACTATTACCTTGTCGTTTTCCCACACCTGTGGAGTGCACCGCACCTGTATGAGGTCAATTATCATGGTATTGGGCTGGAAATGTGTGTTACGATGTTCCCGAGGGCCTGGGAGGGAATGAAGCCCGGATTCCCAGGATTTGAAGCGCTTTGTGTTCTGTTTCTTCATACAGACACACGAAAACGTGACAGTGACCTTGTCAGAAGCAGCCATCAATGGGCACTGCACGTACAGCAGCGGCGCAGAGGTCAGTTATGGGCAAAGACAACATGCTGATTTGTCTCGTATCGCTGAACACTGACATGACTTGCGATGTTCCCGTTGCCGTGTGACCCACAAGATGTCGTGGTGGGCTCGTCTCTGTATGCGACAGTATGGAAGAGGATCTTGCCATAGCTGGCGATCTTACGTGGGAAGAGAGGAGGGTGGGGAGGGGTACAGCTCTCTCTTCGGGGAACTATTGATGTAGTGTCATGTGAGGGATGGCACATTCTCAACTGCTGCACCCAACAATAGTACATTAAAGTGCTGCCCAGCACTGGCGCTCCACAGGCTGAGCACAAAGAATTGCATGGAAACTGGGCATGGGTCATTCATACCCAGGCCTGAAATATGCTTTTGTGTGGGCACCGTCGCTGGGATAGAAGTTTGAACATATGGCCACAGAGTGCTGAAATTTCGAAGTTTGCCAAGATGTTTGTATGGCAGTTCGGTTGCAGTGCGGCAGCTGACAAACGTACTCACCCAACTGACGATGTGGATGGTCGCTGTTATGAGTGCCCGCGTTGCTGCTTTTGTGCCCATGGTGTTCATGCCTGTCCCCACGGAGTGCAGACGGCTCTCAGCCTGGCATTTGGACCGATTGCTGCCCAGGATCCTACTCACTGAGCATTTCATGTAGTGCAGTATCCACTGTGCGTGCAAACCTCGCTTACCGGGCCATTGAGGCCCGTTCCAGATGACCAGGTGGAGGAAGCACGGGCTCTGCTGTTTGCACGATTCCCAGCAATGGCAAATTGGCCCAGGGACCACGGTTTTCAACCGTAAGTGCACGCGCCCCGTGCTACTGGACATTGCTCATGGAGGAATGGCGTGCTGTGCAAGTCAATCTGGTTTGTGGCAATCCACAAGGGAAGCGTCTGTTAGCATACACTAATTAATATTGCAAATCACTGTCAGCAAGGAAAATCACGTCTTCTCTGCCGTTTCTTTGTTGGGCGAACTGCGTACAGAGTTGCAGATCTTAGCAATTGCTTTATCGCTTTGGAGTCGAGCTGTGCCATGCCGCACCAAGTAATGAGAAGAGTGGTTGTCGCCACCATCCCAGCCTGGAAGCAGCTGCTGCATCATTCATTGGGCTCTGGCTGTCGTCTGTTGTCGGGTTTTCATGCAGTGTATGGCCAGATGGCCATATACCTGCATTGTTGGAAAGTCACCATTTGAGCGCGAGCTGTTGTGCCTCCGTAGGTTTGAGGTCCACATCGAGCACATAACTGTGCAGGATTTCTTCGGCGGGGACGTGGATGTTTCGCCGTCAGATTATTTCGCAGTGAAGCCATCCGACTTTGTGGGGAGGCCTCTTGTTTCCTCTACTTGAATGCATCAATCCCCGCGCTCAACTTCACCCTCCCAGAATGGGCGTACCGGACAGCAGGCTCAAACTGCCACAATATTAGCCGAGTCGAAGAGGTTTTCGAACGTTATATCTGCCACCAAGTGTGACTGTGTCGGTGCTCTGTGTTCGGGCTGCGCGCAAGAGTGGATTGCATTGCCCCAGCGGTGCTGCACGTCATGCTTGGCGTTCTCACCACCTGACAAATGTCAAAATTGTGTGTGACATTCTGGCAAGGTGTGCTGGTCGATATAGCGCATGCTGGTGTCCTGAAGGGAGCCTAGTGGAGACCGTTATTGCATCCCAGCTCTAGGTGCAGCTCGGCTCAGCTCTCCGGCGGTGTTGAAGAACCGTGCAGGCGATGGTGTGCGCGCGAAGTCCATTTTGACAATGGAACCAGTTGTGTGCCGATGATTGCAGCTGCTTCGAACATTGGAATTTTTCACCATAGCGATCACCCAAGATACGTTCCCAGCTGGGCATAACCTCAGTGTGATATGGCTTGTTTGAAATTCAGCGACGACCTGACGAATAGCATTGAACGGAAGCATACACCGATTAGTTCTTGTTTCTAGCACGGATCCTCTCAATCCTGATGGTTGTGGGCAGAGCTAGGATATAGCATTACCAGTGCCGATACTACCTTAAAAGATGGACGCATCATGGGCATGTTTACCTACCCTGACTCTATGTTGTTATGTTGAGTGCAATTGGCCTTATGCTGCCGCTGGTGCAACGCAACCAACATGAATTCAATTCCATTCCATTCTGAGAGTTTATCTTTCTCGTAACGGATAGTGATGTCACCGGCGCCCCTCCACACGCGTCTGAGCACAACTGCAGTGAGCCATGCCGCCCACAGTCACAGTACATTGGTGACGTGACGACGAGCAAGCGAGTGGCTCCAGGTTACGCGACAGTCTTTCAATTCTACAAACTGCAAATTTCTGAACTGTACAAATCGGCTTTGGGCGACAGCAGCTCTCACTGCCTTTCGTTGCCTCCCTGGGGTTGGTCCGCACCATCCTAAGGCTTGGCAGCCTCACCCGTAAGGCTATATAGGTCGGCGCGCCTTTGCCTCATGAAGGGCATATTCTCCCGGCGCCTCTCCACCTGCGCCAAGTCCAGTTCCACAAACACGGTAGCCTGTTCGTGGCCGCAAGTGGCCAACACCTCGCCGAAAGGGCCCACGGCTGTAGAGTGACCCCACGCCTGCAACCATCACCATCAATCACCGTCAAAAGGAGCCAACAGGAGTGGATGACTTTGAACTCACTGATGTCTATTCGAGTTGGATGCATTCGAGAGAATGGCAGGACGAGCGCACTGCACAAAGCCTTTGCCAGGGAGGGGAATGCAAATTTTTTCTTCTTAACATGCCATTGGCATTAGTGTTTCCGCAAAACCATTGGTCACCAACAGATATATGTATGCGCATGATGTCGCATAACATGGATTAGAATGCAGCAATGAACGACGATTTCAGTTGGCTCTCGCCTTCTGAAAGAAACCCGAGAGGGTGGAAGCGGAGTCCGACTGGGCTAGGAGCGTGGGATGGAGTGAGGGTTTGGGGTAGGTGGCTGTCTTGTATTGACAAATCTGGCTTTCATCAATCACAGCAGCGACGATTCGAAACAAGTACCTCACAAATTCTCACAAACCTGGTATCCTGCGCCCTCCTGCCTGGCGGGAGAGCAGGTCACCACAAATAACTGGCAGTCCACCGCACGCGCCCTTTGCACCACCTCCCAATGCGCAGGGCCGGTGGTCGTGTTGAATGCACCTGACACAGCAAGTCCTGTCAGGACGACAGGAAATGGAAAAGCGCACGGATAGGGAAGGCTCGTGGCAGAATTCTGGACTGGTCCAAATCAAAAGTACAGTGCAGACCCCGTGCATCGCAGGAACAGGTCCACCTACCAACAGAAGAGCACAGGGCGGGTCTTTGAGTAGAAACCGGCTATGAACGGAACGACTGACGGCGATGGCGCTTACGAAATGGAGCGTTTCTAATATCGTTAAGAGGTGTGCAACCACCACTCATTCGTGTCTTTGCAATCGATACTTCCTTTTGTAACGTTTTTGCAACACGTTTGCAACATGACCCACGTACGAAGACGTGTCTTGCTGGCGCGATGTGAACTGTTGCCGCGGATAGCACTAAGATCAGGTGGCGATTGTTCAAAACCACACACCAAAGAGTGCCTCCTGTTTTGGGATCCCTCCCATGCGTCCACAACGATACCCACCACACGGAGCCATCACGGTCCAAACCATTGCGGAGCGAATGCATTCAAGAAATTGCGACGGCCAACTGGTGCACAACGTGGATGCAGGGCGGCCAGCATGTCTGCACGTGTGGCCATGCGCCCGCCCTATCCATCAAAGTCAAATTCCCAGCAAGATCTGCAACTCAGCATCGACACAGATGACATGCACAGCGCTTCACATGCAACCAAGGAAGGTACGAAAACCATCCAAACCTGGGTACACAATGATCTGCACTCCCGCCTTTGCGTACAGTAGTGCCATCTCAGGAAAACGGATGTCGTAACAGATTCCTATACCAAGGCGTCCAACGTCTGTGTCCACAACGGTCAGCTTGTCTCCGGCTGTCAAAGTATCAGACTCCATGAACCGTATTTTGCCTGGGATGTCAATATCGAACAGATGCGTTTTCCTGCATGCCAGGAACAAGTTTGCAATATAAAGGAGGTGCCTTCCGAATCATGCAATTCGCTGTCAACGCACGCCATCATGGCTAATGCCGCCGTCACACAGTGCACGCTCCACAGAAAGGATGGGGCCAGCAGTCAAAGTCTGAAAACTTTTGCATTTGGGATTTGCAACTCTGATCATTCTCAGGAAGGCATGCATTCTTCAGAAACACATGAGTAGGATTGGCAAAGCTCAGGTCATGCGCAGCGTATCGAAGTTCCGTTGAATAGCCCATGAGCGGTCAGTGTGCAATCTGATTCGACCTTCATCAGTTTGACGCCAGTGGTGCTCTTATGCTAGTTGACCCCGAATATTACTGGCTGGGGTACAGTTCAGGGTATGCAGTTCTTGCTACCAAATGGAATTCTTGAAGCACGGAACTTCAACGGCACTGCAACAATTCAAGTTGCAAATGCACGTCATTCTTCAATGCAATTTGACAGAAGAACAGAGGAACCCATGGTACCCTCACATTTCCTTTGGAGGCACAGTGCATGGAGAAAATGCTCGCTCAGCAGCATGCAACAGACGGTCCAGATTTCTCGAAGTGATACAGTTCATTGAGTTGTGTCCCTGCCCACAATTTCCACAACTTCGTCACTGCTTCCTAGCTGACCCCATTGTTTTCGAAACGCACAACTCGTGGCCGGTTGCCCACCTGTGCTTCCCGAGCAACGAGCCTCGAGATCCAAACACACAGCACGTATTGTACAGCTTGCCGTTGCTGCATTCAGGGATCGAGCCACCAACCAGAGTGACGCCGCACTGGCGTGATACGTCTGCCATCATAGAGACTGAAGGAGACGTTGAAGTGGCTGGAGCCACAGGGCTGTCAGGTCCAGGCGAAGGCACCTCTTCTGCGTATGTCGGGAAGGAGTCATTCGAATATGGGCAGTTCCACATCTCAGGCAAGACGACTATGCTGGAGCCCTGCTTGGCAGCATCCTGTTGCACAGGGCACAAAGTCAGCACAATGCCAAGATTAGTAGCAAAAGCAATAATGCTGTAATATCACCACTCCAACGTCATAATTTGTTTGTCCAAATCGTGGCGAGGCTATGGTGGCAAACAAGTAACACTTCAATTCATGCGCCTGTCAACATTGGTAGTTGTCATTCCTTGTGCAAAGCATGAGGAATGTTCTGAGTTCTGCCACACTCTTGCTCCAGTTGTGCATCCTTTCTTGAGGTCAATTTTGGCAGGTGCACTTGGCACAGCCAACAATGCTGATATGAAGGTCGGCACTGTTTCTGAAGGACCCCTTTCTATGTCTGTAACATGGCTCAAATTCATCATCTACAATATCATTGTGTCACATATCTGGGTTTACTGCGTCAGCAGCTGAATCCATGGCAACTGCAGAGCAGAGCTCTCGATGTATTGACCAATATTTTGTTCTGCACCCATATGGATGACAGAGCATCAGTATCGTGCATGTTGTTCTTGCGATTGTGTCATCGGCCATGCTGTGGGGTGGTGCAGACAGTCACAAATTACACTAAGAGGCAGCAGAGAATGCACTGTGCAGACAAGCTTCTTTTCACAATGGGGCGGTTCCTGTGTTCCCAGGCACTGCCAGCACATATGTTGCTTCCTTGGATGCGGATGCTCTTACATCATGTCGCACAAATGCAAAGCAGTCTCAAACACAATAGCTTGGAATGGGAATGCCCCTGTGCAAGAACTGCCATCCTTCTTCCTGCAACATCAAAGGGCACATCATATGTGTCCACTTGCAACACATTCTTTCTGCAGTTGGGGCAGACCCACCTCGATGGCTTTCCTCGCACACTTGATGTTCTCTTCCTTGTCTGCGGTCACCAGCAGCTGGCAAATAGCCATTTTCACCTGAGTAACAGGTGTCAGAGTTGGCAACTTCACCAGATGATGAATGTCAGAGTTGGCACAATGAGAGCTGTTACTGTAACATCACAACAGCATACTGTGCATATTTATCAGCACACGCAAATCTAAGAAATGGATGTGCCTATATCTTCATGTACATGACAGACTTGCAAAACGCATTGTTCCCAATATTGTCTGCATAGCATGGGTTTTCAAGGGCCCATTGCGCAGACTTTCGAAATCTGATTGCTCATTTTGTTGCCAAGGACATGACAGCTTTGTCATTGACAGAAGTGGAACGATCAATTGTAACATCTTGTGCACAGCAAGCTGAATGCACAACAACTGTGTTGTGTGGCATTCATGCCTAACAGCTGTTTAGCCAATATGGGCTATGCATGAAACATGAACGAGTGCCACGTCCAAGATTGGCCAGGTGGACACAGCCTGATACTCCATGTTCTGCCAGGGGGAAACCTCACTTCGCCCAAGTCTTGTTCAATTGTGCATCACAATCAAAGAGTCCTTGCCATTTGGCTAGGCACCACACAAATGTGGTTTGAAGGTCAGTTTCCTACCTTACCCGAAGCAAAAGCCAAACATGCACAGCCTGCCCACCAATTTAACTCCAGCTGCCGTTTCAATCCCAGATCAACACGCCATACAGGGTGGCGACATTATTGGATTTTGAGAGCTTATTGCATCAACTAGAGCACTCAGCACTTCTCAATCACCGTAATGTACACCTCGATAGTGCTGAGTCATGAAGTCACCTTTTTGGAGGCAGCTGGCGAAGGGTCTGCCATTGAGCTTGACACACTTGTTCTGGCAGCTCTGGGTCTCTGAGGCGTCCAGTTGGAGGCCAGGGACAGCAGGGGCCCGCGCGTGACCAGCAAGCCTCGTCGAAGGAGCATCTGTCTCCAACGACTACAATTACAAGCGGAGAGAAAGGCGCCTTAGCACTGCCCATGCAACTGCGCATAACCGGGATTATTGAAGAGGTGGCAATCCACTGGGAACACCGAATCGCAAACGGTAAATTGGGAACCATCGGGCAGATCTGCAGGTATTCTCGCGCAGTCAAGCGTCGCACTGTCGTGATGGCGCGCGGCCAGTATTGCATTCACAGCATTCAGCATTCCGACAGCAGTGACATAGCCTGGAGCGCAGCAGCGCCCACCTGTCCCAGGCGCTTTCGATAAGGTCCTGGCCCCCTTACCTTACAGGCCGCAAGTCATCACGACAAAGACGAGTTGATGTTGAGGCTGGTGCCAGCAGGTCGGCAACATTGCCCTGTTGAGCCCACAACGTGACCTTCAGGTCCGTTTCGGCCTGGCCGGTACTGGCTCACGGGAAGATGTGCTACTTGGGCACTGAAGATGCTCAAACACCGCAGATCTGCCGGTACAGGACAACATGCAAAACTAGTTGCCCTCCCGGCTTTGCACGGAGGTGGCCAAAGAATTGCCAAGATTCGGTCTGTCCCCTCGTCTCTATTCATAAAACTTCGGTGAGCGATCTGACCACCGCGATCGAAACCAATTCGTCGGAGAGGTCACGGTGTTTCACAACAACAGCACCGGCGAGTTCACTGCATCATGGCAGAAATTTCGCAGCACGAACCATTTTTTTGTCCGTCGATCGGCAACCAAAGGGCTATGTTATATACGTACCCACCAATGTTATTGACGCTAAGTGTAACAACGTCGACACAATTCCTTCCCTTACCTAATATCCCCCAGTGGCAAAGTTGAGCTTCAGAAGGGGCACAGTGTCCTGAATTGTCCGCCCCTTCTTTCGTTGCAAAATTTGACTTGGTACGTTAAATCTTCTGAATTGATTGCCAAATGTTGCATCTATGTGCTGCACCAATGTGCCAACTTTACTGGGAAATTGAACAGTACTTCTCCCTACTTCACTCTGAACCCATTACTTTCTTTCTAGTTTTCATTTCCCAGAGCTTTGATCTGTCCATTTAGCTCTTCCGGGTGGATTCCTAGGGTTTTTATGTGTTTGCGACCAAAACTGTGCCATTTGCACGACGTTTTTTCTGGTGATTCAATGCAGCACTAGAATGCGTGTTGGGGGTGTGCCCAATCGTGGGATGGGTGGATTTCAAATACAGCCGGATTTTGTGAGGAAATTTGTTCTGAAAACATTGTTTTTGCTGGCAATCACAATGGCAACGAGAGCAGGAATTGCTGGCGACACAGGATTGCGGCTGAATCGCGTGTGCATCCCTGCGTTGGTTGCGATGTAACAGCTAGAGGAACGTGTTTCGCTGCGTGTTCCCTAGCGACACGGTTGCGAACAGAAAGGCTGGCTGGCACTCTGTCGGACTCGAAGAGCTGTGTAGCAGATTCGAAGGGGGAATCTTGTTTCCGCGAGCTCGACTCCTTGCGCCAGTCTTGGACGCGGTGTTAAACTCTTACTTTGTCGAACCTAGCCCCTTAGCGCTGCGCAGCATGCATGACGTGCTCTGGACATCGATGGCGCCTTTGTTCCTATAATGTTGTATATCTGGTTTCGGAAACGATGTTGTTCGAAGAAACGTCGAATTTCATTGTCATTCAACTAGCATTCGTGGATGGTTAATATAGCTTCCCTGGGTACTCTCGCAATTCCATCACAATCGCCCGTACTGCCCAAGCCCATATGGAGTTAAAAGGCTCATGTGCCGACTTCTCTCTCGCTGACACACCTACGAGTCATTAGCAATGTGCGCAGCTCCCAGTCCAGCACCATTTCCCCTAAGGAATATGCCTGTCTTGATAAGTTCCCCAAACCACAAAAAGATAAAGCCCCCAATCATTGCGACCGCGGCACACACACAAGTGCCTCCCATACCATCTACACTCCCATTCAGCTGATAAATTGAATGCACGAAATCCTATCCACTCAACTACGCACCCAGCTGAGCCTATTTCTTGTCAGTTCTTGGTCGATGGTGCTTTGGGCGGCATCACTAGAGTCGTTGGGGCCGCGGATGTTTTGGGCGTTGTGGGCGCTTTGGCTGTCTTGGGTGTCTTGGGGGCTGCCTCAGCAGCTGGGGTAGAAGTTGTCACGGCAACTGCTTTTGGAGCTGGCGTCGTAACAGGCTTGGGAGCTGGTTTGGGAGCAGACGCGGGACACTGGAACTCGACCCCATCGCCATTCGCGGCCTCGATATCCTCGTAGCACTTGGGCTCAACGGACTTGATGACCTCCCTTCTTGCATCAGCGAGCTGCATGCATGAATAACTTGTTAGCGCGGCCAATACAGCAACTAGAAGTGAGCAAAACAAGCACGATGATCAGCCAAGGGCGGTCTGGCAAGGAATTTCAACATTGTCGAATGCAAGGCAGCGGTTGTCACGTAAATATGCAGTCCTCCCCTATTTCAACCATGGATGCCGTGACAACAAAATGAAGTCACTACACAAAGCGCTACACAACAAAACAAACAAAACGGCCACTACCACCTACTGGGCTGCTACCGGCAGCACATACTAGCTGCCTCTGGCTGGATACCCTCCATGCTGTGCTTCCGTGCCTAGGAAATATCTGCAATCACCAGTGATCTCCTTCGGATCAACATCGCCACGCGAATAATTTGGTGCCGCACGCCAGCGGTGGCCTTGGCGGGCCTCAAGGAACTACCGCCCAGCCCCCCAGCAAGCGCACACACACCTCGTCAGCGAAGGGTCCCATGTAGCCGAACACGGCCTCGGGGTCGTTATTATCGAAGGGCGTGTTGCTGCTGCGGCTGTACAGCTCGTTGATGGTGCCGCTGATGTAGGCCTTGCCCTGGATGTTGGGGTACCACACAGCGTCCGACAGGGAGTTGAACTTGGGCGCGGTCAGGATGCGCGTGAACTCGTGCCCCCGACGGCCTGTCCGCGAGTCCATGGCCCACATGACGCCGTTCTCGTGGCCGCACTCGATCCCACGGCTGTCCACGAGGCAGTTGTCCTCGGACACCAGCAGCAGGCCGTGGCCAGGGATGTTGGAGATGCGCCCCGGGTTGGCGGGCCGCTCGATGCCGCATACGTTCTCGTCCTGCGTCTCGCCCTGCGCCACGGCGTCCCCGCAGTAGAACCTGTCCATGCCCGTGATGTCGAACTCCGTGGTGACGTCCAGACTGAAGAGGCAGCCGCAGGGGGCCAGCGTGACCTTGACGTCGTTGGTTGAGCCTTCGATGTCGTCCTGCACCATGACCTTCTCCTTCTGGGATATGCGCGTGAAGGAGATGACGGCCTTGCCCGAATTGGGGTCGAAGGTGAGCCCCTGCGTGTTGGCCAGCTCGATGCTGGCGCCCTGCAGGGCCGCGTACCGCCGCGTCTCGAAGAACGCCGCCATCGTCTCCATGCCCTCCTTCACTTCCAGGCACTCCAGCCCCGACTTGACGAATATCTCCTGGAGTTTGCACGTCTTCGAGGGCGGTATGGAGGTAAACATGTCCTCAAAGGTGATGTTCTGCGACGCCTCCACCAGCTCGTCGTTGTTAGCGGACCCCAGCTCTATCCAAGACACACCGTACTTGTTCAGGTTGCCCCTCACAGGTTTGAACTTCGCCGCATACAGCGTCCCTGAGCTCAGGTCGGCCTCCGTGTCAGCAATGAACTTGAAAAGCCCGCCGCCGACCTCTCTGCCCGTCGTCCAGTCGGTCATGTACACCGTCTTCTGGTCGGGCATGACCACCTGGGCGCCATGGGAGAAGCGGCCAAGCGTCAGGTGCTTCATCGGCTTGGCGCAGCCGAACTTGTTCACCTTGACCTCGTAGGCGTAACCGTAGGCGTACGGATTGAACGCCTCGGCGAGCTTGGGGAAACTGTTGTCCAGGTCGTCGACATATCGGTCGAAATAACGGAGGAACTGGAGGCTGGTGCTGAAGTCATCTTCCGCCCTGGACTTGAAGCAGCTCGAGAATCCGGTCAAGCAGCCGAAACCGCGGAAATTCTGGCCTGCGTTTGCAACAGGAAAGACCGGTGTTACGCCCGAAAGATGGCACAAAGTGGCGCCAGGGCGTCGAATGGGTGCAGCAGGAGGCCCCTAGCGCCGACAGGAGTGAACTTGTTGGCTAAATATATCTGCCAGGTCACAAGCGCCACACAGGGGCAGCTGTTGGATTGGGTGGCTAAACGCATGGTTCATTCTTCCATGCGATCACTTCTTGGTCACCGATTCTGATTATCTTGCTCACAGTTGACCCACTTGAATACCCTTGCTTATCAGCAAGCAAGAGTGCCTTGAACCCCGCGCACCACAACCAGCTGGAACAACAACCAGGCCGTGTCCCATTCCCTTGGACGACAGCTTCAAATCTTGCCTGGCACCATATGATGGCCGAGAGGCCAATGTTCTGTCATGCCATTGTTGAACATATTCGAAGACGATGCAACTCACCATTCGGCTCGAAAGCTTCTCCCCCAAGGTGGGTGTTCCACGGACTCATGACACCACCACCGGACTGCCACAGACCGCCCCACTCTGACCAGTCGATGTAGCTCGCAGACACTGTCTCCAACGCTGTGCCATTTTCAACAAGCGTAAAGACGTAGCTGACAGCTGGCAGTGCATCCACCACACCAATGGAAAACACTTTGTCGCACATGTTGATCAAGGAAGTGAATGCAAACCTGTGGTAGTCGTCCGGCTCTTCCACACGCTCCGGCTTCACAGGCCCATCTTTATAGCTGGCAGCACAGCACAAGAGCAAGACATATTTAAGATTGAACACAGGTATGGCACAATATGTCGTGAGAGCTTTGGCACCTTCAATAATAATTTTGCTTAGTCCATTGATACTGTAGTTGAACTATTGTTGCTGGAAATGGGCAAGCACTATTTTTGCATATTCAGTTGGTGCATTATCTCAACAGATAGTATTCCAGCACAGGTGTGCACAGTGCTGTTGAATGACAGGCTATTCGGTGGCTACACAACAGGCCCCTTGAATGCTACAAGCAGGAAGCCAACTTGTGTTTGCTGCCCTCCTTGCGACTTGCGAACAACATTGTTCTGGCAACGAACAGAACCAGACTTCCTTGGGTAGTTTGGACCACAACCGACCGAGATGGCATTTTGGTTTAGTGCTGTGTCCCACCGTCCCCAAGTTCTCAGGTTGCGTTATCCTCTCTCAACAACTAGCAACCGCCGGCCACACAGGGGTCTGATATCCATATCTCGTCTGATTACGACCCGTTTTCTGTGCACGCCACTAACGTCTGCAGCAAATGTCGTAGTACTTTGTTGTCATGGTGGCGGGCTGTTGACTGATGGGGAGCAGGTGATTGGCCAGCCAGCGCTGCCGTACCTGTCCACAGGCTTGTTGGTTTGGTCCACCAGCCGACCCACCACCAGGCTCTTCTTGGGCTCTCCCGTGATCTCTATCTCTTCACCGGTCCGGTACAGCGGCGTCCAACCCCCTATCAGCTCGTCGTTGCCCGTCGTCAGTCGGCTGAAGCCGATGGGGATTTCTCGCGGGCCCTCGGCGTAGGGTACGGGCACGTTGCTGAAGGTGAGTTTGTTGCTGTTCCCGCTCAAGTCGAACGATCCGAAGTAGGACATCCAGCCGAACGTGTCGAAGGGGTTCGCGATCGTCACACCGATGTAGTTGTTGCCGCCCACGACGTCTTGGAACCAGTTGACGCTTGTGATCCTGCCCTCCTTCGACGCGTGGAATATGCGCGTGGCGCGGCCGGTCTCCGGGTCCCACGCCCACAGGAAGTTGTTGGTGTGGGCCGCTGTGTCCTCGCCGATGAGCAGGTTCTCGAACTTGTTGGCGAACGTCAGCGACCGCGGGTTGGCGATTCTCTCCGTGTTGCACGTGTTGCCCTCCACCACGCCGGCCACGTCGTCGCCGCACAGGATGGCCTTCATGGAGGTGGCCAAGAAGTCTTCGTCGATGTTGACCTCGAAGACGCAGCCGCAGGGGTTGGCGTTCACGTTCACGCGGCCATCCTCGGCGTCCAGGGCGCCCTGGCGGATGACGTCCGCGGCGAGGTAGAACACGTCGGCATCCAGCTTGGTGGCCATCTGAGAGAAGCGGAATACGTTCGTGCTGGCGCCCTTGATGGTCGCCAACCGCTCAGGCTCGAACACAGCGGCCAACTCCTCGCCGACGATGCGCAGGCACTCGACATTGCCTGCCCCACCGTGCCGACAACGCGTTGGACAACCAAAATTTGCTGAAAAGAATTCGCTGTACACTGTGTGGAGCGTTCGTCAGCAAGTAAAACAGGCAATGCGGGGGGCATACCCTCGTGCGCAAGACATTCAAAGGCTCTGTGCAGGATATGTGGGTCATATGTGAGTAAGTCGCGAAAAGCAGCACACCTCACAGGTTAACAACACCAATGGGCTTTTGTACCTGGCAATGATTCTATTGCTGCCTAACGGTCCATGAACTTGAGAATGACAATCGAACTTGATATTGGTTGTGGACCTCACTCTTGACCGCACATGCTCCAACAAGGGGCGAGTGGTGCATTCGAGACACAGGCTGCCTGTTTCCAGAATGCTCGCGAATTGCTCCCAGCCTGTCCTCATTTCAGCCTACCTTCCAAAGCAACGCGCTCAAAACCCTCTGGGCACTCGCCTCCCACAGGACCAGTGCTGGAGAATATGTCGCCAAAGTTCAGGTCTTCAGTGCCGCTGGTGAAGCCCTCCACGTCCGCTGCAGCATTTTCTCCTATGGATATCCACTTGATTTCAAGAACGTCGCCTTCCTCAATGGTGACTTCATCAGCGCCCTTCGCCTTGGGAACAATGGAAGCTGCAAAGAGCTCTCCTGCCTCAAAATTTGCGCCTGATGGCCTGAATCTGTAGAGTCCACCATGGCCACCAGAAATGTAGACATTGAAGCCATCCTGCATGACGGCGATTCCTCGAGCCCCCAGCCTTCCCATCGCATAGTGCTTTGCAACGTCATCCAAAACTCGGTCGTTCGCGTCCACACCAAGGCTTATCTCAAAAGGGTAACCATAACGGTACGGCCTGCATATCACATGGAAAACGATCTCGATGCTGTCCACTGCAGCGCAACTGCTGACTCTGGTGAAAGACGAGGCAGATGAACATTTCACAGTTAGTTACATTTTTAGTTTTCAATATTCGGCTCTTCCACCCTCAACCCAGCTTGGCAATCGATGACCACTAGGAGTAATCCAACAATTTACAGGGAGTTCTATTGACAAATTTTATCCACACGTGACAGCGCACAGCCTTTGCATGTTCTGGTTGATGCCAGACAGAAACGCCACCCAAGTAATGTGCCAGTGTCTAGCTGAATGGTAAGCCTGCCAATAAATGTTGACAACCACATGTGCAGATGGGCAAGGTAAATTGGACATGGAACACAACAATCATGCACAAATGCCAGGCTCCTTCAGATTCAACATTCGAATTTCTAATTGTTACATTTACAGCAAGGCACTATCTGGGAAATGATGGATAAACAAGATTCTTACTTAAAGCCAGGGACAGCTTCGGCAGGTGGAAGCAACAGTGCCCCTTCCTCCTTCAGAAGGTCCGGAGTCCGTCTGAAGTAGCGCATGAAGTCCATGATGTTGAAGAACTCGATGGGGGCGATGTCGCGCATACAGTCAGATCTGTCATCATCGAGCATGCACTCCACGCCAAAGTACAACCGTCCTGCTCAACGTCAAACCAGGGTCACAAAACTAACATTCAGCAGCTGGCTGTGTGTCAGACAAGCAGAATGGGCTTGCCGCAAAAGTTACTTTCTCGGCAACATAAACATTCAACCTGATGTGTCGTTCTTTCTGACCCTTGTTTGACAACGTCCACATAACAGGACTAGTGTGGCAATGAATGTGTGAATGCAAGCACTTTTCTGCAACTCGGCCCCGCGAAACAAAGCTAATTGAGCAAAAACTTTTGGCTGTCGCTTCGGCTTTACCCCACACGCAATTCCCTGTAACCGAAACGATGAACTTGCGCTACACGTTCCTATGTTGAGTAACTTTCTGTTCTCGCAGATTGGAATTCAACGGCACCGGAACAGGCGATCTACCCAGCTCTTCTGCAAGCAAACAGCAGTGTCCAATGTGAACAGGTGTTGCGTCCCGACCCAAGATGCGAGAGCCAACAGCTAACAGGGGCATATGCCGCGGCCGGGCGCAACAGAAACCAACAACGCCGCAGTCGAAAAGAAAACCAAAAGTGCCCCCAATACCAGAGTCAATTTCGAGATTCAAGGGGCACACACAACATTGGAGAGATCCAGCGCCTGACGAGAGCCAGCATGCTGTTTGCGCGTCTCCACAACGAGGAAGTACACTCACCATCCGGAGGGAGTCCTTCAGTTCCCAGGTACGCGCCACCAGGCGTCAGGGTGGCAGACCTCGGCAGCCAAAGTCCCCCCTCCTTCACGAACGGGACTGGCACGGTGAGCAGCGTGGCCAGGTCTGTGTCGTTCTCCAACCTCATCCGCACCCTCAACAGGGTTCCGGGATTGGGCCCCTCGAATTGGTACAGCATGAACCATCTCCTCACCTCCTCCTGCTCCAGCAGGATCCCGCCGCTTGGCGCGTGGGAGAATTCAACCTGCGAGGCACCAGAAATGCCACCGCGAGGGGTCAGATCGACAACAGTGTTACCGTAGACAGCTCGTCAAGTAGGGGACGCGCACAATTGGATGCAGCAACCCATGGAGGTTGCGGAAGCAGCAAAACGGCGAAAGCAGCGTAAAGCCCTGTATGAGCGATGAGGACATATGGGCAGGGGCGACAGCCGTTCACTTACAATCCGTCGCCCTGTGGAATTGCCTCTCGCTGGCCTGCTGGCCGGCTCCAGTGTGTCCTTATTGTATGCTGTGACGTTGGAGTTCGTGATGTCCAGAACTTCGCCCATGAACGTACAGCCCGGCTCAAAACAGTTGTGGTCCTCTCGTGTGCGTGCGATCTTATTGAAGGCATTCGCAGAAATGTCGCCGTAGGTAACTTTCAAGCTGGCCACCACCGAGGTCTTCTCTCGGTCGGTCCGCGGCACGTGCACCGGCTCGAATTGGACAAACCCCGCTGCGAAGCCAGCCAGCAGGAGGCAGGCCAGCAGCGCTCGCCCCGCGGCGAACCGCGGAGGCGACATCCTCGTTGTCGGAGCCCAACGGCGACCCTCGGAGGCTTGGACCGGCTCTTGCCGTTTTAACTACCTGCGGAGCATGCATACACCCTTTCCGTTTGCATGCATCCCTTGCAGCAGGCCCCTTCTGCGCGCCATGAAGCCATCGCAACGTCTTCGGTAGCAAATACAAAAGGCCACAGCTGCCAGCGTGAAGAACTTAGGACAAGCCGCACGGTCGGCTTATCGGATCTCACCAGCCGCTGCTGGACACCAGGATGTCATACACTGTTGCTCCGACAACGGCGCCCCAGACAGGAGGGCCGTCCGCCAAGGTGACCTTGTTTCGTCTCAAGAGCCGTGAGAAGATCGTTACTGCTCGTAGCAGGCCGCCCTTGGCGCACTTCTCCGCCGGGAGTACGAAGTCTGCTGGGAGACGGTCGCGTGGGCAATGTGTACCTGACCTTTTCGCACCAATCACGCGAGGGTCTACTGCTGAACGGGGCAGGCACACGGCCAAGAATTCGCCAGGAGCCTAAGCACAGTGAATGATTTCAGTGGCGAAGAATGAGTCTCACACCAATCTGTGGAACCGGGTTGCACCGGAATGCTCCGTGCACCACTAGAAGAGTTTCCAGGGGTGGCTGACCATGACCTTTCTTTCCTGTCGCACCTTTCACTTCGTGCCTGCGGAAGACATCGGGGTCGTGCATGCCCGAGAGCATTGGCACTCCTCTTCGCATGCAAGGTACAAGCAATGAGAGGCAGAAACACATCTGCACACCATCGCTTGCCATGGGAAAGGGGTGTTGAACCCAATGCAACACGTGGCTGCAGCACGGAAAGGAACAAACCGTGCACGTGGCTTCACATTTGGCATGCTCACCCGCCCGGCTCATAAGTCGGAGGTGCAACCGCATGAACTGTTCGAGTGCCATGATGTTACAAACAGCTGACAAACACCGCCAGTAGGGTGTCTACGCTTTGGAACAGCAATATGACTCACCGATCAGCCATATGCGCTCAATGGGAGTCACCAAAAGCACAGCCACTACCACAGCCCTGTCAATCGCCCAGAATTTCTGAGCATTCCGCTCCTACACTTTTTACCAACTTAGCTCATAAACACTCACAGGACAACGAGAATCACCACAGCAAGTAAATTCAAGCCCAACAGGATACTTGGGGTGTGGTCGAGCGCTGCCGAAGCGAGGCGCAACCCCAGAGCTGAACTTCGTGTTCAAGTTCACCTTAACCGTTCACATACAACGAGAAACATGCAACTGCTGACCAGCTCGACGAGAGGCACGAAAATACACGCTCAAACTGCGAAACGATGTTCCACACCTCGCTCAGTAGCTCAGTATGACGAGCGTACTGACCATTCTCCAGATGTCTCAAACCGATGTCGTCGATGCTCGTTCCCTGCGGTCCAGCGCTGCACTCCACTCACTCGCCAAGCAGCGGACGATGAAGACGGGTCGTTGAGTCGACGAAGTCAGCGCCCAACGTGGGCGCACGCGGGTCAGCTGGTCAACGAGGCAGGAAACGAGCTCGGCGACGAGCTGTGGGTATGTGCAGCGGTGCACAACCCAAAGGCAATCGATCCGGAGGGTCAAGAGACAAAGACACACGGAAACGAAAGTGTTCGTTACAAGGCTGCTCCCCTTCGACCACGTTCGACCTCAACAACTCACAGCACGACCGTTTTCAACTGAGCACCCGCCGTTCAGACCGCTAGAACCAAAAACGGACGGGTGGGGGGCGGAGAGAGAGGGGGGGAGGCACTCACAACCCAACCTCCGCCACCTAAATACCCCCGCCAGCTCCAAGGGCACTACACTTCAGTGACCCTTGGATAAACAAACAGACACATCAAGAAAAAGGCCACAATACCTCTCAGAACTTCCCATTGACCTTCTCCACTTTGACCCCTTCCAAAGGGTCACACAATACAATTCAAAAAGTCACTTTGGAGCACTACAACACTACTCAACACCCGTCAGCGCCCCCTGGCAGTACTCCCATGAAAATGTACTGCTGTACATCCTCTTCCCACTCACGCTGCGATGAACTAAGTGCTGTAGGTTCCTGAAAAGTCAAATTAGGGGGAATCCCCCTATCCAAACAAAAAATACACCTAATGCATTTTTCATCCCATGTACACCCATCACACCCCACAGTCCCGTAGTGGGTATTGTCCCCCGGCTGCCTAACCCATTCTACCTCCCTTTCCCCCATGTACGACATGCGTGCCCTCAATTGAATTCCCTGCATCATCCAGCCTCCTTCCGGGCCTGGCAGCTCCACCTCCCATTCAGCTGTTACGTAAGCTTTCCAACGCGACGCAGCGACCACCCTCCAGTACGCCCGGGTGGCGCGCTCCACCATCCCCACCGGCAGCCCCCCGTCTCCCTCGGCGAGGCCGCCCACGCACCCTTCTCCGGCCCACGCGAACGGCGCGGGCGGGCTGTCCGGGCCGTCGCGCTCGGCGGCCATCCAAGCATCTCGCTCGGAGGTGCTCCAAACTCCTTCGCCTCGCCAATTCGCGGCGAATACACTCCGCCGAAGTCGATCGCCCAACCGGACGTTGGGGATCGCCGCAATCCAGTAGGCGTGAACGGCAAACAGTTGGCCGTTCAGGTGTCTTACTCGCCACCGAGTTGTGGCATCAAAAGCGGAATGGATCCAAAAGAGGGGCGTTCCTGAGCCGGAGGCCATGGCCCATACCTCCGCCCTACCGAGCCCATTGCGGCACGCGAGCACCACTTTGCCCGCTTCGTCCGGGCCGACCAAAGGCTCGCCCGGGCCCCTTCGTCCCTGCGTGCACGGATCCACAAATATCCCCGGAGGGAGAGAAAGCACCGCTCCGCCATGGAGCATGGCGGAACCGGAGGGTCCGCCCACACCGAATGCGAGCACGTTCGACCCGCCTGCGGAACGTGGGGATGCTCCGGCCATGGCGAGGGAGGGCTTCCGACGGTCCCTGCACGGTCGGGGAGGCTGGGGTGTTGCGGCGCGCCGAGCAGACCGGGCAGAGCGGGCGTAGGCGGGGCGCAGGCGCAACCCGCGGGGACCAGATGCAGGGGGGCGCGGTCACGTCCGACATACGGTACATTACACGAAATATCAAAAGGGCGGTCTCCCGTACAGGTGCAAAACCACAAAGTACTGTTAGCAACCGCACCCAACGTCCCATCACGCCTCACTGGACCCCTATACCCTGCCAGTACCTGTCCCATCAAGGTCCTAGGACCTTTTGCAAAAGTTCAGGTCCATTCAAGGACACCCCCTACGGTTCATGGTCTCCCCAAAACGGGTCAGGAGTTGGCCGTTTTTCCCTCTGAAAGTCACTCAAAAGGCCCTTACAAACCGGCCAACCTCTCACTCAGGGTCCATCACCACACGCCCTGCACACACCGTGCCTCTTTTTCCCCGGCTAATAGTACTGGACAACCTACCATAATCGCATACTAAACCCAATTCTGTACACCCAAATTCCATCACCGCCAAACTGTATTGTATCCCGTCAGCATGCGGCTCCAGCTGACTAGTTTTCGCCCTTTTCCTTGACCAGTTCACAGCCCAGTCACAGCCGTCCGTGCTGCCCGTAGAGCGCTCTTCAATTAACGTCATTGTTGCTCATTCTGGACGGTTCTGATGAGCGGCATTGCAAAACAGCGAGATGGAGGACATCTCAGCTGTAAATGCATCAATTCGTGTGCACTGGAGAGAAGCTAAGCGTGCGTACGTTTGCCTTGATCATTCAGCAGCTGCATGACCACTAAATGTAACCGTATGTCATGCGGTTCAATGTGATTTCTGCTGAGCACCATTGACCTTTCCTTTCTCTACGGTTTTCTCTCGATTACAGTGGTGGCCATTTACTTGAGCAGAATGGACTGTAATCGAACATGGGCACACCAGCTTACCCTGCGCAAACTCCGAAAGCATCAATCCCCCAGTACTCACTGCGAATATTGCCGTCCAGTCCACTGATAGGCCGCATCAAACGCTTGTAACTGATCTTCATGGAAGACAAGTTTTGGTCTACGACCGGGCTCCACTGTGAGAGCATCACCATTACCGAGTTTTCGAGCCTTCCAATATGAACCCTGTGTTCGGCACACTAGTTGATACGGTCCCTTCCATACTGGACTGAATTTGTCACCTCGCCTTTGCGCTGCCAATTCATCATAAACCAACACCGGCTGGCCAGGATAAAAATGCACCGGTCTAGTTCTCCGCCGCTTGTTCCGGGCTATTCGAAGCTCTCTAGTTCTCTTATGAGCCCGTTGCAGCTCCCCTGGGGAGGCATGCCAAAGGTCCACCGGTGCCTGACCTGTGGTGCTATGCCTTGCAAAGTTCATTGCCTCTAGTGCAAGCGGGACATGCTTTGTCCAAGAACCACCCAGTGCATATTTCAGCTTCCGTAGTCTATCCACAAAGGTCCGTTGAAACCGCTCTATTAAACCAACACTTTGATGCCGGTACGGGGCTATAAACCGATGGCTCACATTCTGAGTCTCACACCACCTTGCAACCAATCTAGAAGCATAGTATGAGGCATTATCAGTTACTAATACCGAAATCTTTCCATGCCTCCGTTGCCACTGTTCAAGCGCCCGCACAACACCCGCACCCTTCACCGCCTTCAAAGGGAGCACATCTCCCATCCTCGTAGCATTGTCTACCATACAATGCAAATATTTAAAGTTACCTAAACCGGTCACAACTGGTCCCACAACATCTGCATACACGGTGTGCCCTGGGACGAGAGAAAAGGGTGGCTGTCCCCACTTTCTTCTTGGTACTTTCTCACGATACCTAGCACAAACTTCACAACCATTGCAAACCTTTTGCACCAATCTCATGGGTGCTTGGATTCCACGCAACCTCAACTCTTGATAGACCTTGAAAGGACCTCAATGAAACTCTTCATGCTCAGTGCGGATTTCCTTGACCAAATCATCCAGACTATACTGAGTGGACGGACCGAATTCCTGTCCACCTTCCCCCTCTTGCAG